TCCGCATCACAGGCGATGAGGAGGTGACTAAACACCTCGAGCGTCTTTGATTACGCCGTGACGTTGCATCACTAAGCGCGTTCTATAGTCTGTACAACGGCGAGTGTTCTGAAGAATTATTCTCTCTTATTCCACCTTCCCCTTTCCTTCAGAGACCACGCGCGCTGGCCTTCGGTGTCACCGTCTAACTGTAGCCACAATTCCGACGCGTACAAAGAAATTTGGTGACTCATTTTTTTGTCGCACTATCCGTAAATGGAATGCTCTGCCTGCTCACGTGTTCCCTCCTTCTTACAACCTGGGATCCTTTAAAAGAGGCGTGAAAAGCAACATGCAGGCCGGCAAGGTGAGGATGGCTGGTGTGGCAGGTAGAACTGCTTTACCAGCTATCTTCACATCTGGACTTCACCATCACTTAACATCAGGTGAGGTGGAGCCATTTGTCGGACCTATCTGTAAAAAAAAAACCCGGCGTACAAACCACTCGGCCACGGAGGTCGTCACGAGGATTGGATAAGGGTAGGCAACGGCAAGAGTGATATTTTGGGTATCGCAAAGGCCATAGTCATAGGCTATGGTGGAAGCTTACAAACATAGCGGGCCATATACGATTAACACCCACCCCTTTAACATAGATTTTTTAAAAATACATTTTGGAATGAAATGGGTATGCAGACATAGAAGAGAGGGTCTCCGAAAAAATAGTTTTAACTGATAGATTTTGGCAGTGAATTGTATTAGGAGAGCATTGTATCCAACTGGTTCCCATATTAACGTCTATTGATCATCAGCCTATTAATATCCCCACTGCTGGGGCACAGGCCTTCCTTATGGATAGAATAGGGAGATTGGGCCATGACCCACCACGCGGGCCCAGTGCGGATTGGTGGGTGCTAACGACTGCAGATGCAGCCGTGACCAACGGCTTTGTGTGCCTACCGAAGCACGGAGGAACGCGAGATAGATTTTTCGCCACCCATCGAATGACCGACCACTGAGAAAGTTGCTTAACTTCAACAATCGCAACCGAAAGCCTAAACCACTTGCGCCATCGAGCTCCTCTAAAGCCCGTATTGCAGAATGACAACTAAGTGTTGATCTTTACTTGAGTACAGTTAGAAAGGGATGTCGCTATGTGCTTCATATAGCGACATCCCTTTCTAACTATGCTCAAGACTAGATCAATCACTGAGAATCTTTCTTTAATACGGGCCTAAGTCAAGACGCTGCCCGTCTTTGGTGGACAAGTCTATTACGAATTATTATTGACGTGACAACGTCTTAAATTAGGTTGCGGCTGGGAGTCACTTATGAAAAAGTGTAACGCTCGGTAACGTTACGATGAGTTTAAGTTTACATGTACAATGTTTTAGTAAACAAAATATATTTCTATAGTTAAAATTTGTGCAATTCTTATTTTCATTCAATTCCTTGTTCCTATTGTGCAATTTAATTATATTCATATCAATAAATATTCTACCGAGAAAAAGACGTTGTCACGTAAAATCTTCGCCCGTAAAACCGACTTTACAGGCAACCATTTTTTATCAACATCATTGAACTGACATATTTACATTTGAAAATAGAAATAAGTTATTAACTTTTTTTAAGCTACTTTGCAGAAAAGAAATATTCATAAGCCCGCCGTATCAGAATATTTGTAGTACAGTTTTATTTGTGATAATTACATGCTTTATATGAAATAACAATTCTGATACGACAATTTATTATGTTATTTAAAAAATAATCTCAGAAAATGTTGGCATTCTTAATTTCATAATGACAACGTGTCGTCGGCGCGAAAATTGCTACCGTTCAAAACATTATGCGAAACACAAATTAAGTTATTACCTTAAATTACACGTCTACATGAAAACATTATAAATGCCTAATTACAGTCACATAACGAATATTGCTTTTGTGCCTGTTCGTCCGTCTATTACGCCTAATCCGCTAATCAGCCGATTCTGATGACTTTTGGTATAGAGATGGATAGAAACTCGGAGAAAAATATGTTTTAAAGGAGATTGTTCAGCTTCCATACATGTTTGGCCTAAAGACCAATAATCATGAAAAATTGTTTCCTAGATTCGAAATTATATATAAATTACTGTAGAAACGAATATTATTGACGGACACCCCTGAGAACTTCTATAAACCATATACACTGAACATATTAAAATAATAAAAAACAAATAAGTTATATAGTAAACTAGGGAAATCAATCCAAGTACCGAAATTATGGATTAGATTCAGGTATATAGAGCATGTAGATTAACAGATAGTTGCCTGTTTTTAAAGTTAATGCATAAGAGTAACTTTTAAAATCAGGTGTCATTTCCGGTTATAATAAAGTACTCTGTGACAGAAACTGTGTGATGATTGTAAATGAGCCACAGATTAGAGAGAATTTTTAAACTCTCGTTAACCAAAGAAAGCTAAGAGATTTAGGTTCTATAGCCATATATTCAGTAGCTTCATTATTTTTGTTATGTTTTTAAGATAACCATATTTTAGATTTTTAGTGTATCACACCTTATGATTTCATTTATTTATTAATTTATAGTCAGGGAACGTAGGCCCATAGATAGATACCTTAAAGTTTAACATATATACAGATTATAATGTGTTTATGGAGGTGTTTGGCGAAAAATGTATGGCAATAGACTTTATGATGTCGCCTACCATCTATAATAAGTGTCTGAGCACATTTGCATCTAGTGAAATCATTTTCATTAATATTTAATTTAATATCCACAATTTAATTAATTAAATAAATTATTAATTTAATTTATATTTAATATCCACAACTATATTATCATTAATATAGTTGTGGATATTAATACCACAGTGTAATAAAAAAAATGATTTATTTTATCGATCTTTACAAAATAGATTTGTTTTTATGTTATATAAACAACTTCGATCAGTCTTTGACTGAATGTTACTACACCCATAGCCATTAAAAATGATTCGTATGTGTTAACCGGTAAAATTAAAAGTCCTTTTTAAAGTAAATGTATTATACAAAGGTGTCCGTTGGAATCTAATGACTGTAAATTAAATTATAAATTACGCCAAGAATTACCGTGTATGTCAATATTTTTTGTGCATTTAGGCCAATTTGAGCAATCTCCTTTACGGTCAGTTAAAATTCGCTCCCAGATTGTTTAACCTAAACTTCCAATCGAATACATTGCACGATTCGTCGATTCGACATTGGAATTGTACTACTTTTGTTTTGTTTATCGGGTCCTTGCATCACTGTATGCGGATACACGAAAGACATTACTGGAATTCGGGTACCTTAAGAGCCCTTTTACAAAACTGCGCCGCTGTCGTACTGATCGGCGCGTAGGTAGATTTGCACTAGTATGTATTGCATTTTACGGATGCTGTTTCGAGTCTTATAAAATAATTATTAATGAACTAATAATAAAAATATATACATGTTTCAGTAGTTCAATGATGGTAGATTAGTTTTATGAAAGATTTTGATAGTAATTTTATTTAATTCAATATCAAAATACGAGGTAAACCTGAATTATTTTTTGGGAATACTCGCAGAGGTTAGATGTTTTTTTGATAATTAATGAGATGGAAAATCAAAATTCTAATACATTATGTTACAACAAAAACATACTTTTGATGTCGCAGTAATTAATTTTATCTAATTTATTGAATATTATTGAGAGATTGAGGCGTTTGAAGTTGAAGCTGCAGTAGAACGATCAGTACAAAAATAGGAAATAGGATTTGCAAATATTCTACATTAACTTACAATAGGACTAAATCTACTGTATACTTCTATTGGAAATAGTCAAAATCTTTCCTAAAACGAACGGGGTAAACGACCGCTCAAAAATTACGATTTTTTGCAAAAAATGTGAAAGGGCTCTTAATCAATATTTACACTGGAATACGGGCTGATAAGAAAGAGGAGCTCGATGGCGCGGGTGGTTAGCGCGTTCGGCTGCGATCGTTGAAGTTAAGCAACTTTCGCAGTTGTCGGTCATTGGATGGGTGATCAAAAAGCTTCTATCTTGAGTCTCCGTGCTTCGGAAGGCACGTTAAGCCGTTGGTCCGGTTTCATATGCAGTCGTTAGTACCTACCAATGCGCACTGGCCCCGCGAGGTAGCCAGTGCCCCAGCAGTGGGGACATTAATAGGCTGATGATGATGAAGGGCTGAAAGACGGTGTCGGTTAAACAAAAGATAATCTATTAGCATTCGCCAGGATTGCGAAGGATGCGGGTTCGAGTCCCGTCCGCTGCCTGGTCCGCGTGGATTTTTTATTAGTGAACTTTCTTTAGATTTAAACATGTAGCAGTTAAATGCTTAAAAAATAAATAAAAACAAAAGGTAATCTACCCATATACGGGCGTACTCGACTCCGTTCATTTACACTGAGTCGTTCACCCGAATACCATTGGCACTCGTATTCGGAGAAGCGACCAGGTGTAATCGCGCCATTACTCATTGAAAAAAACATCCCTAAATGGTGTTGTTGGTGGTTGCCATCATTCCCCAGATGGGCGGTGCCATTCGAGGTCAAGAAAACGCTATGAACATAAAAATACGTCTTTCTTTGATGATATCGTCTATATGTCTATCGTCTGTACCACGGCGAGTGTTCTGAAGAGTTATTCTCTCTTATTCCACCTTCCCCTTTCCTTCAGAGGACCACGCGCGCCGGCCTTCGGTGTCACCGTCTAACTGTGGCCACAATTCCAACGCGTACAAAGAAATTTGGTGACTCATTTCTTTGTAGCACTATCCGTAAATGGAATGCTCTGCCTGCTCACGTATTCCCTACTTCTTACAACCTGGGATCCTTTAAAAGAGGCGTGAAGAAGCAACATGCAGGCCGGCAAGGTGAGGATGGCTGGTGTGGCAGGTAGAACTGCTTTACCAGCTATCTTCACATCTGGACTTCACCATCACTTAACATCAGGTGGGGTGGAGTCATTTGTCGGACCTATCCATTAAAAAAAATGATATAGCAATCAAAAAGTAACGCATTATAATTATTCAAATCGATTATTTATTGGACCATTAATGTACAATAACGAAATCACGTCATTTTCACCGAGATCCTTTTAAGCATCACTCCATTCCCTGCAGTATACTGAACATGGAGTATGATGTCTTGATTACCTGAAATTACAACTCATAACTCATTTATTGTAAAAATATTTAGAGATCAGATTATGGATACCCTGTCGGGCACAACAAATAAGAATTAATATAATAATGCCAATTTCTCGAGCTCGGGAGAGAAGCTCAATGGCGCAGGTGGTTAGCGCGTTCGGCTGCGATCTTTGAAGTTAAGCAACTTACGCAGTGGTCGGTCATTGGATTGGTGACCAAAAATCTTCTGTCTCGAGTTCCTCCGTGCTTCGGAAGGCACGTTAAACCGTTGGTCCCGGCTGCATCTGCAGTTGTTAGGACATACCAATCCGCAATGGGCCCGCTTGGTGGGTCATGGCCCAATCTCCCATATTCCATCCATAGGGAAGGCCTGTGCCCCAGCAGTGGCTGATTATGAATGCCGATTTCTAACAAAATTAATATGTAATAAGAACAATATTATGAAAAAATCAGTGTTTTTTTTTAAATCTATTTGGGGTCAGGCATTATGATCTTATATGTATCAGTATATATAATCAATGCATTACACATATACATGAACCTTGAAAACAATACGCTTTTTTTGGACAGTTGTGTAAAAATATCGCCTTGCAATACTCACTCCCATGAAACAGGAGAGCGACAGCGTAGTGAGCCCTTCAGCTGTGAACTTGGCGACGCGCCTGGTCCTGGTCATCATGATGAGCAGCGAGCGACGCAGCGGCACGGGCATAACGTACCAGGGGCACTCGTACGCCGCGTCAGCTATGGCAATACTCTAAAACAATAATCATGGTGTGGTGGTTCAACCCGAGATTGTGGAAGTTAAGCGAATTGATGAAATGCTGTGATGAATCATTGGATGGGAGACAATTTTTTTTATCTCGAGCTTGCAATGTTTGGTGTTAGTTCAGACGTTTGACAAAGGATGCGTTGAAACTACCTTTTATTACATATGTTCCCAACTTATATATTAAATTATACACACTACAAGCTCGTAAGTGCTTTGGAAGGCTCAAATATCTTTTTAAATCAATTCAATTCAATTCAAAAATCATTTATTCAGTTTAGGCTTTTACAAGCACAAGTGAAAGTCTAGAACTACGCCATCGGTTCGCAAAACTACGGCGGGAGACCTTGTACTGAGAAGAACCGGCAAGAAACTCAGCATGGGCTGCTTTTTTCTCCCTGTTTTATTTCATACAGTGACGTCAAATTGAAAGTAGACATCAAACTTGCAAACATGTGTTGAGGTCAATTTACATCACATAATATGAAATAGGTAACAATAGACAATTAACGAATTTATAAGTGAAAAGAAAAGTCCCAAAATAGCAAGATACAATCTGCAAAACATATTGAACAAGTATATGAAAAGGAGTTAGTGCAAGGTGATCTTCAAAACTCTTACAAATGGGAATATGTAATATGACATTGCAGTTAGGTAGAAACAACTTTGAGGACGACGTGAATAGAAGAATTCAGCTAGGTTGGGCAGAGTTTGCGAAGCTACGTCAAGTCCTGACATCGTCGATCCCACAGTGCCTAAAGACGAAAGTCTTCAATCAGTGCGTCCTACCTGTCATGACATACGGAGCCGAGACATGGACACTGACGGTACGGCTAGTCCACAAGTTCAAAGTCACTCAACGTGCTATGGCAAGGGCTATGCTCGGCGTTTCTCTGAAGGATCGCATCAGAAATGAGGTAATCCGACAGAGAACCAGAGTTATCGACAGCCCACTGGATTAGCAAGTTGAAGTGACAGTGGGCTGGCCATATTTGCCGAACGACCGATAACCGTTGGGGTAGACGAGTTCCGGGGTGGAGACAGCGTCTAGGCAAACGTAGTGTAGGACGTCCTCAGGCGCGGTGGAGTGACGATTTGCGCAAGGTGGCTGGCAGGACCTGGATGCGAGTAGCCCAAGATCGATCTGAGTGGCGTGTAATTGGAGAGGCCTATGTCCAGCAGTGGACTAGGATAGGCTGTTAATGATGATGATGAGGATGAGAAAGGTAATAATACATTATAAATATTATATATACATTATGTTTTTATGCAAACTTAAAACTAAGTTCGTTAAGCTGATGGTCCTGGCGGCATCTAAGATTAGTGAAACTCATTTACATTAACATTAAAAAAGGGCTAAATCAAACCTCAACAGCAGGAGATATTTAATTCAAAATATCATGTTATATTTATATTATAGCAGCTATACCGTACAGTATCGACTGTTAAAGCATGCATTGTTTATCGTAACCTCATCTCTGAATCCGTGGAGCCCTTTTTTTGTCACGCAGGCAAATACTCTGTTGACAGACGACGGCGCCTTTAAGAGGCACACCGCCGAACAGACCTCACACCTGGCTCCCGCAAACCTTACGAGCCCCCACAGTGGCTGCCCACTGAGGACCCCGTAACTCTTACGGGCGCTTTACGGCATAATATCTGCTTAAAAACCCTGCGAATACCCGCTAAGCTGCCTAGTGCGAAACTGCGGGATCCCTGGCATGGGTCTCCTGAGGTATTGCGGGGACTCCGCAGACGTGCGCAAGATGGCCCGCGCGTGGGGGCTGAATACGCGGCCTAGTGCCCACCGTACCGCCCACCGTCCGCTGCGGAGGACTACTTGGGCGTGCCCGTGTAGCTCCCTCCGCCGCCCCCCTCTTTGCAGGACAGAAATACAAGATGGGGGTTGCCGTTACGGGATCCCTCGATGGCCGGCACGGCAAAATGCGCCGTAGCCGTACCCGCCGTACAGCTAGGAATCCCCGCGGGCAGGGTCATGGGACGGGCGTAGCCAGGGCATGCACTCGTCCTCTCCTTCTTCGGCGGGAGGGAGCGGCCAGGGGATCATCCTCCCGCTCCCTCTCGGTTGCCTCCTTCTGCGAGATAACGTTCTCGCAGAAGGAGGCAGCCGCCTCCCATGCCGACTTGTTACGGAGCATGGCCTCTACCAGGCTCCGCAGCGAAAATCCGTGGAGCCCTGGAACCTTTCTCACAGACAAAAACACAATACCACCAATGGCAGTCCACCTGATGGTAAGTATTCATTGTTGCACCCTGACACTTGCAACACCAACGTTGCCATTACCAGTCATGCGTTGTTAGAAACACAGCATGAAGGAAAAGGTTTACCTGTCTTATTTGGCTATGTTTTCTTAATGGTGCAGGTTACCCCAGACGGGCACTCCAATTGGAGCTGATATTCTTCCAAAAATAACTCTAGTATGTAAAACTCTCTAACTAGATACCTCCTCAGAAAGCATACTCCCCTGGTAGCAGTACAGGAACACTTGCAGCATCATGTCTAACAGGTAAGCCGCCACGCCAATAAAAGCCATTGGTTTGCCAATCACCTAAAAAAAATTATATTGTTTCAAACTTTCATGGTCACTAACATTATAGTAATATAAGTTATTTACGGGACTGTTACCATGTACCTTGTTTTTAGCGAGTTTCCGATATTTCGGCACTGTTGCAAGTGCCATGATCACGGAGTAACTGAAGTAATTGCGGGTAGGCTGTTATTGGCAGACATATCGGTCTACCCTCCGACGAAGTCTTTTATTGCGTTCAATACCCGTACCACTGTTCACATTATCACTATTCACTCGAAACTGTTCTCGACACACAACACTTACAGTATCGGATCGGTACGGGTACGGGTATCGAACGCAATAAAAGACTTCATCGTCTGCCAATAACAGCCTACCCGCAATTACTTCAGTTACTCCGTGATCATGGCACTTGCAACAGTGCCGAAATATCGGGAACTCGCTAAAAACAAGGTACATGGTAACAATCCCGTAAATAACTTATTTTACTATAAAAAAAAAATATCGTTGTTAAACAATAGAATACGAATATACAATTCCTGCTTAAGTAGTCGTAGCTAAAACTAGCTTTTGAAGTATAGTATTTTAAGATGTGTATTTATGTATTATAGAGCGGGAGATTACAAATGCGTGCAAATGAAAAAAGCTGATGGCCAAGGTTATTTGGTGACAAACCCCGAATTTGGTGATTGTTCTTCGGAAAACTTGTATTCCGGTTGCATGCGTATATACAAATCTGTTTCCTATGATTTCGCGCACACGTGTCATTTAATAACAACAGTAAACTTTTACATGTTCCGTGCTAGGAAAACTAATTGAAGAATGATGAAAACGTTAAGAATATTATAAAAATGTGATTCAATCACGCTTTCAATACAAAAAAAATGTTTAGTTATACCAATGTAAGTATTGCCATACAGGGCTTGAAACCGGTTTCGAAAATACCGGTAAATAAAGGGTAATACCGGTTTTTAGTAAAGGTTTCATTCGGAGCGCGTCCGAAATGAAAGCGGTACCTAAAACCTTAATAAACCGGTTTTATCCAGAGCGGCACTTGCACGCGTCGGCATCGCTTGAAGTTTGTTTTGTTTCAACTAATCAAGTCACAACTTGTGAATGCTCAGAGATTGATACATTTATTGACATATTTGCTGGCGTCTAGTGAATCAAGTTATTCATTTATTATCGATGCCGTCAGAAAGAGCGAAATGAAACCCTTTAAAAACCGCTAAATTGATTCAAAACCTATTTGATTTCGCTCTTCAGGAAAACCGGTTTTTTAAGGTTAAGGTAGAGCCAAACCTAAATAAAACGCTCCTAATGTACTTGACACTAATTTAGGTTTGAAAATTAACCGGTAAACAAGCCCTGGTTACAAAGATTATATTTCAGTACCGCGTTCATTTGGTAAGCTGTAACGCATATGATCAGTAGTGACACGCTCAACTGCATGAAGGTCGGGAAGGAGAAGTAGTCTTGCAGCTTCTGTGCTGCCTCCAGGGTAGCGCAGTGCTGCTCCACGCACAAACGGAGACGATCCTTGACTATGACCACTTGATCTGAAGCCAGGAGGGGCTGGAAGAAACAATGTTCTTCTGGATTAAACAACGAACAGATAGGAGGCCGGCGCTGTTTTAAAAAAAATGTTTTTTTGTAAAGTCGGTTAAATTTTACGTGATAACGTGTCGTTTGCTGTTATCCTGGGGGCAGTTTTGTGAAGCTTATTTGTTCCGGTTAGTCTGAGCTGGAGGTCACCCTTTTCACATCATCATCATCATCAACAGCCTATCAAAGTCCACTGCTGGACATAGGCCTCTCAAAATGCACGCCACTCAGATAGATCTTAGGCTACTCGCATCCAGCTCCTGCCAGCCACCTTGAGCAAATCGTCACTCCTTTTCACATAAAAACGTACTAATTATTTGTTAGTAATAGAAGATGGAGGAGCTCTATGGCACGTGGGTAAAGCTCGGCTGCGATCGTTCAATTTAAGCAATTTTTGCAGGGGTCATTCGATGGATTGCCAAAAATACTATCTCGAGCTTCTCCATGATTCGGAAGGCACGATAAGCCGTTAGTCTCGGCTGCATCTGCAGTACCCACCACTACACTGGGTGGGCGTGATGGGTCATAACCTTTCCATCCATAGGGAAAGCCTGGACCCTAGCAGGGGGACATGAAGGCCGATGACGGTGATAAATAAAAGATAACGCACCTCATTGATCCTTATCCCCTGGCACAAGTTCCTAAGTGACAGTCCTAGCAGTTGAAACCTGCAGCGGACCTGCGCCATCAGGCTGCTGACCAGGGTATCAGTGCTCACATTCAGAAAGGCATCCACGGAAAGTGCTAATATCTGGTAGGTGTAAGTGATTTCATAGTTCGGGTGCTTCGTAACGTCGTATGGAAACCTAATTGGTAAGAAATGCAGTTTTAGTAAGTATAAACACGTGCTGACCGGGGGAGGTAGCCACGCGAGGCAGCCACGCGAGGCAGTCACGCGAGGCAGTCACGCGAGGCAGTCACGCGAGGCAGCCACGCGAAGCAAATAGGGATGATGACTAAATTATAAAAGCAATACAAAGATATCTTGATTTGAAATGTCGCATGACCTCACTCACGTCTTGGTACAACTTTTACTTAAAAATGACGTCACAAGCCCCCACTTCCAATTTTAATGCGCTTTATCCTTGTAATTTTTTGTTTGACTGACAAAATAAAAATTAAGTGTCCATTATTTTTTGATAATCTAACTGACGGCCTAAATAGAATTTCGTTTAATTTACCCTGTCATCATCCCTATTCGCTTTGAATCGTCCATCTCCCGCCGAACGCTCGTTGTGTAAAAAAATCCGTTACAACTAAAAAAATGGGTGCGTGTACTTATGTAGGCGCGTGAGAAGTTATCCTTCTTTGGCATCGTTTAAAATTAGTTTTTAATTGCATGCAAATAATTAATTACAATAAATTAATAAAAAGTCTGGAAAAGGACACAGTCAATAAAGTTCAGTTTTAATTTGAAAAAATAAATAAATAATCAAAATATTCAATTAAAATCGCTACTGAATATAATTTATTAGAACATATGTAATTTGCCCTTGTATGAAACTCAAACACGTATTCCGAATATACAAATTAGAAACATGTGGATAAATATTATAAATATGAATACCTATAACTGTTACTTTATTACAAAAAATAAAGATGTGGTTTTAGTTCTACTACACCAATGGTCAAGAGATGGCGCTGTAGTCTCCTGAATCGCGCTTTGGTTCCGTTGTTCCAGATTAATAAATACTTTTGATAGGCCTTCACAATGTAGTCGTTAGCACCCACTAAATAGAGATTCTATTTCTATTTTGTTGGTAGATTTTCTTAATGTGCGGTAAACACAAAAGTAACGCATGAAGTTGGTCGCTAAAGCGACCAACTTCATGCTGTTAAAATTTTGTGTTACAGTGATGCGCGCGCATCTTAAAATTTCACTCTCATCATTTTTTCATAACGCGCCTAAAGAAGTATAACTTCAAAAATTAGATATTTTTGTTATGCCGACATTACATTTGGTCGTTAGCCCGTATTAGGGTGCACGAAAGACATTACTCAAATTCGGGCACCCGAAGCAATGTTTACACTGAAATACGAGCTGGAAGACGATGTCGTGTAAACAAAAGGAAATCTACCCGAATCATCATCATCATCAACAGCCTATCTTAGTCCACTGCTGGACATAGGCCTCTCCAAATCTACCCGAATACTAGTATTTAATCATGCATGTGGTAATGCGACGTAAGTCGAGTTGCGGAGATGCAATTTCAAACGAGTTTTGACAGCTTCGAAATCGTATCGTCATCGTTAAATGTGTATGGAGAACCACTACTGGATGTAAGATCAAACTAACTACGGGTCCGACAAAGTTCATGCTTAGGGTACAGTACCCCTAGCACGAACCATTATCGAATTCGAATAGTTTGCAAACCGAAATGTCAATGTCAAATTTTGTATGGAAACTTGAACAGCAGCGGCACAAAGTACGTAACGAGAACTAAAAATCAGTACACATTTGACAATGACATTTCGGACTCGCAAACGATACGAATTCGATATTGGTTCGTGCTATGGGTACAGTGCCCCTAGCACGAACCAATATCGCATTTGAGTGCGAAATGTCACTGTCAAATTTTGTATGGAAACTTGAACAGCAGCGCCACATCGGGCGTAACGAGAACTAAAAATCAGTACACATTTGACAAAGAAATTTCGCACTCACAAACTGTTCCAATTCGATGTTGGTCCGTGCTAGAGTTACAGAACGTATCTCGCTGAAGAAAACACATATACTGTATGGCGCTAGAGCATGACTTAACGACTCTGTATATATCAATACAGGGTGAAAAAAGCAGCCCTTGCTGAGTTTCTTGCCGGTTCCTCTCAGTACAAGGTCTCCCGCCGTAGTTTTGCGAACCGATGGCGTAGCTTCTGACCTTCACAAGTGCTTGTAACAGCCTAGACTGAATAAATGACTTTTCACATCATTTCATGCTGCTACCTTAGTCCATCCCTGTCGTTAGATATAGTGCCTCAGTACTGTGATCGATTGCTCTCAATACCAACCAAATATTAATAAAAAGTTAAGATTACAAAGAATTAATAATACGTATGATTCATATATTGAAAAGTGTAAAAATAAACAATGTCAATTTATGAGTGATATTTTAATTTATGCATAAGTATAATACAATATACCCTGCCAACATGCATGCTAAATATAGTTGTATTTTATCAACCACAATTCATTGTATTCTAAAATAAAATATTAGGTTCAAATGCGGGACAGTATAACAGGGAGCACAATGTAACATGAGGAATATCTCTGCCCTTTTCTTATTTGCCTATGGTCTGTCTTAGTCCTCTGCTGATGCCATCTGCGGATGCGTCCTCCGACGTGTAGACGGGGTAGTTTGCGGGTCTGTAGTAGGTATTTAACGGCCGCAGATGCGCCAATGAGGAGCTCGATGGCGCAAGTGTTTAGCGCGTTCTGCTGCGATCGCTGAAGTTAAGCAACTTTCGCAGTGGTCGGTCATTGGATGGGTGACCGAAAATTCACTATCTCGAACTCCTCCGTGCTTCGGAAGGCACGTTAAGCCGTTGGTCCCGGCTGCATCTGCAGTCGTTAGCACCCGCCAATCCGCACTGAGCCCGCGTGGTGGGTCATGGCCCAATCTCCCTATTCCGTCCATAGGGAAGGCCTGTGCCCCAGCAGTGGGGACGTTAATAGGCTGATGATGATGATGAGATGCGTCTGCCATCAATCCGATAGTTATCAGTTTTTGTGGCACGCAATAAAGAGATTCAGCGCGTCCGTCGACGTCCCGCTTGATTGTCCACGTATCATCACGACGTGTGTTGCCAGGTCTCCAGATTTTACAGGAGATCTCCTGTTTTAATGTTTTCAAAATGAATCTACTGTTTTTCTTAGAATACGATTTTCCTTTTTTAAATCATTTTCCTCCATTAGTAACGGGGTAACCTTAATTATTATAAAATAAATGTTATTCTCTAAAAAAACGAACTTTGAGGGGCGGCAGGAGCCACTGAAACACATTCGTTACTGGCTTTTGATTTCCCAATTCTATGGGGGGGGGGGGGGAGCAAATCGGAAAAAGTGCGCCTCGGTATCTACTGTTTTTTCTTGTAGCTCTTTCCATACATCTACTGTTTTTTTCTATAACGTTTCCCGATTTTTAAAAATCGGACCTGGCAACACTGCGCATCAGTAGTACTGGAGCTGCGAATGAGAGTGTACGCTTGCTATTATTTTTTGCTCGGTTGTTACCCTCGTTCGCCGAAATGGCTTATATTATAAGGTTAATACTTTTAAATTCCGTGGAATCGGAAAAATAGCTAGCCGCCACCACCTTCTTCATTTCTATTTCTTTTTTAATAAATATACTGCGATGCAGCTCAAGTAGTAGTTAAAAGTACCAAATTAATAAATAATTGCGGCAGCAAATAATCTCAACATTTATTTTTGAAGTGAAAACTTCTTTAGCTGCGTTGTACACTTTTTTTTTAAACACGTGGGCTGATCGCATCATGACACACAATAAAATTGGAAAGGTTGTTGACTGTCAATATATTGGACGAAAAATAGTAATAATAATAATAAGTCTCTATCTAGGACGTCCACGTGGCAGCTTTATTGCGAAGAAAATGCATTTTTTTTACAAGAGATGTCGCTAGGTGCGCTTAAATGTGATTCATGTAAGTTGATTTCTTAACAATAGATGTCGCTTAGTGCGCTTAAACGTGATTCATGTAAGTGATTTTTCTGAGAGATAAACTTTTTTAATGTAATATAAATTGTCATGTTTGTGTACGATAGCGCAATAAGTAAATATTGTATTCTACCACATACATGATAGTACTTTTATATTGATAATTAAAGCAATGCGTGCAAAATTATTCCCTAACCATTCCAAAATATCAAAAACGCACAACGGTAATATTCTAGTTTTCACTACTGCCGGCACTCCGCAGTGCATCCCGCCACTTTTTTTTAATGTTGGTGTTGCGCACGAGTTGCGTCTGTCAAGAATGAACACAGACTGATTGATCTTCAGACGACGTCAGAGGTGCGGTCGGCTCGTGGTGATACATCTGCTGATGCATCTGGCAACATCCGCGGACGCATCCGCCAACGTGTAGAGGAGGCATCAGTCTGTTTTATTAGTTTCTTAAAATGCCATCTTAAGCTGTCATCAGACGTCAAATGACCGGATAAAAGAAATATTCCACTTTTTGGCGGGATCGGGAAGCGTCACTTTAGCAGTTTTGTTTTTCTTGTTAAAAATTGTGTTGTGGCGGATGTTAGTGTCTAATAATGGTGGATTATTAACCACTAAGTGTTCGGAAACATGCACAAGTGTTGGCAAGTGAAACAAAATAACGGAAAGTGTCTTTCGACGTTCCCTCAAGGAGTCCACGGGGAGGTTCCAGTAAATCCCCACACATTTACTGAAACATAGGGAAAGGGGGATTGACTTCACTGCCACTTACTTTGACTTGACTAATATTTTGACCACGAGTGCTATAGAATATTAAAACATTTTACACTTGACATTGGCTAAATGCACAAACCGTGCGAAGCTATATAGAAAAAAAAAGTCCTTTTTATAATGACTTGACTCTCACATATAATCCTGCAAGCTATGCAAGAACTTTCTAAATACTCACCAAGCCCGAATAGGCAACATGCCTTTATCCGCCGCGGCCGCAAAACCCACCATGGTAATGATAGTCACGATGGCGTAAATGGCCAGCAATATGGTCGTCTCCCTGTCACATCTGTACAAAGACGTTGAGAACTGATATAATCCCAATAAAAGATATCGCGTACTTTTAAACCGGTGAAAACGTCGTAAGACTTTTTTATTGTCGTACTCTGTGCCACTTTGGTACCCGACGGTTTCCGCAACCGGGATCGGTGCAATAGTATTATCTGGTTTTTACTATATAGGCTCATTTCATCAAGTCTTAATGGCCTTTTTTTATAACGCAGGTAAAAAATCTTTTTACAGACGACGGCGCCTTTAAGAGGCACACCGCCGAACGGACCTCACACCTGGCTCCCGCAAGTCTTACGGACCCTCAGTGGCTGCCCACCCAGGACCCTGCAACTCTTACGGGCGCTTTACGGCATAATATCCGCTAAAAAAGTCCTGCGAATACCTTCTACACTGCTTAATGCGAAGCCGCGGGGTCCCCGTTAGGGATTCTACCACGAAATCTTAATGGCCTGGATGTGATGAGCAGGGAGGAGTTTTTAGATGCCCTGTTTGCACTACTCCCGGTGGTTCAAGGACACGTAAAAAAAGGTTCCCTGAAAAAAGTATTGTTCGACTTCCAATAAACAGCAACTTTAGTAAAGGTCAGTATTAAGATCAAAAGCGATCAAAAAAAATATATATCGAGTTGCTTCGTACTCCGCGTAGTACGTTGCACCTACAGTCTGTCGTCAGCACCCACCAATCAGCATTGGGCCGGCATAATAGGGGTGATGACGGGATAAACAAAATTCTATTTAGTCCGTCAGATATATGATCAAAAAATAATGGATACGTATTTTTTCTTTGGGCAATCAATCAAAAAATGACAAAGTTATATCGCGTCAAAGTTTGGGAGTAGGGTCTCGTGACGTCACTTTTGAGTGAAAATTGAACTTTTTTAATTTTAAAACGTGACGTCATGCGAATTTTCAAATCAATATGTCTCTGCAATGTTTATATTATGTGAAAAAAGAAAAAAATACGTGTCCAATACTTTTTGATAATCTACCTGATAAACGAAGAAAAAAAATAGTCATCATCCCTATTTCTGTATCTCCATTTTCCACCCAAGAGGAAGGAATGTATCTCAACATTGGAGACATGATAGGCTGATGATGATAAATAAAATTGTTTGAGTCGTTTTTTTTTTTTTTTATTCGGTAATAGGTAAGCGCTTGACCATAATTCGCCTGATGGAAAGCAATATTATGGTCTACGATGGAGCGCGCTTACCTTATAAAAACCGGTTCGAACACTTGGTTGGAGAGAAGTTAAAAATATTTATATACCACCAACCCACTAATCCGGACTTTGTCCCCGTGACGAGTCATGACCCAATCCTCATATTCCATTAAATAAAGCTTCTACCCACCACCTACCTACCACCTAGTGCGGAATAGACCCAGGGCGGAATAGTTCCAATACCAAATGAGTCCAGTGCGAACGCTCCCGTCCCATCTCTGACCAAACAAAACGTTATAGTAATATAAGTTATTTACGGGATTGTTACCATGTACCTTGTTTTTAGCGAGTTTCCGATATTTCGGAATCCTGTGGTTCGTATGTGTAAAACCGGAAATAATCAAAAAAGTGTCGTGTCGCGATCCGATACTGTAAGTGTTGTGTGTCGAGAACAGTTTCGAGTGAATAGTGAGAATGTGAACAGTGGTACGGGTATCGAACGCAATAAAAAACTTCGTCGGAGGGTAGACCGATATGTCTGCCAATAACAGCCTACCCGCAATTACTTCAGTTACTCCGTGATCATGGCGCTTGCAACAGTGCCGAAATATCGGAAACTCGCTAAAAACAAGGTACATGGTAACAATCCCGTATATAACTTATATTACTATAATGTTAGTGACCATGAAAGTTTAAAACAATAAACAAAACGTTAATTTTTTCTGCCTAAACAGCAGGATACCGCATTCCTAAACTTTGTTAAACCAGTTTTTTATATAGTCATATTTTTTATATTATTTGTCTTTGTTATGGTAAGTGACTTTATGCGTTACCTCATATTGAAGTAATTTTTCAATTTGACGACTCTGTATATAATACAGGGAGAAAAGAACAGCCCTTGCTGAGTTTCTTGCCGGTTCTTCTCAGTACAAGGTCTCCCGCCGTAGATTTGCGAACCGATGGCGTAGCTTTTCGACATTCACAAGTGCTTGTAACAGCCTAGACTGAATAAACGATATTGAATTTTGAATTTTTTGAATTTAAACTAAGTCTACAATCGGCGCCGTCAGTGGTCGTGACAGTAAAATTTCGCCAAGCTCCCATCCGGCATACGGTTCGAAAAGGAACGGCGTTTGAACAGAAAAATTTCACGTTAAACAATTTACCGTTAGTACAATGTGAACGCGTGCGTCTCCATTGGTGTTTCCTAATACAAAATGTATAGAGAGAACGCCTTCCGACGTTCTGAACAGAAAAACAAACTTCCTTAAAAGAACCTACCAAATTCAATATGCCAATCAGTTTCTCTATAGGTAATTTGATGATATATCCCGAATACTTGAAATGAATAAAGCTGGTTGAAAAACAACTCTAAAAGAAAAATTAAAATCTTTTGATTATCTTGCAACAGAAAAAATATTAAAAGTTGATAAATAATCCTGTATTGGCATTGCAATCTTAAACTATAAAATGTCCTAAATGTATTATTTATTTAGAATTTATCTTCTTTATAAGAATAGTGTGTGTCAAAACTTCCCATCATGATTGTTTATAAAATATTTCACTAAAGTTTTCTGATCATTGTTTGGGGTGGAGGGTTGATAACCTGGGATACAGGAATTTTCCTAGTTCAGGTAATAGCCCACCACAGTCTACCATATTGTACCATTGCTTCATGTAAGTCTTAATTAGATTGTGGTATGAGAAAATTAAAATTTATTATTATTTATTATTATTCTTCCTTCCGCCACGCAACATTACCTTTTCACTATAGCTCGAGCTTCTTCTGTATCGGTAGACCTCAATACTTGATCAAAGTCATCTATCATCGACTTAATCATTCTCCTGCGGTACACGATGTTGAGTAGCTTGATAATTTCCGTGGAGATGGTAAGCAGAAGGAACGAGGCGGAGATCATCAGATGCAGAATCCCCAAGTCGAAGTAGAGTTGCACTATCTGTGTGGCAGCGTAACAACCTGCGGGCATTCCGATCCTATTTCAGAGAGGTAGGTCATAGGAATCGGAGCTCCCGTCTGGGGAAAAACTTCCTTAGGCCGTATAGAGAAAGAAAAATTAAAAATTAGAAACTGGGATAATGTTTAAAATTAAGTTGACAAAATGGTTACAAAAAAAATGCTATTATAGTATAAAGGAATATATGACAGATGACAAAATAGCTGACTGCAATATTTGCACACCTGCCTGCAGGTAGAATACATGTACTTCCATAAAATGTATCAACTTGTGAACTGTATTTTGGCAAATAAATTAAATTATTATAAAGCCGATCAGCGCTTATCGGCGCTGATCCTTACTACATAAAGGAAGCCGATTAAAGCGGAGCAAGCAAAATGTCGGGCTCATTTGGTTTTGTTAGAAAATGTGTATTTAAAAATGCGAAAAAAGCTATACATTCTATAAATAGAGAAAGGAAACGTTATGGGGAATACCATCACGTATTTGTAAAAAAAAAATTGATGATCAAAGATTTTATACATATACATATACAAGAATGACTCAAGAAACATTTTATTACATTTTGTATGTAGTGAAAAACCGTTTCATGAAAAATTGGTGTAATTGGCATAAACAACCAAATCCTTCCAGAAGAAATACTTGTTGTCACCATTCGGTAAGTACGAAACAAATAATTTTAGCGCTTAGTTAATAAAAGATAAAGTTATTAGATTTATAAAAAGATTATAACTTAGGTTGATTTAATCTAAGGATAATAATTCAAATACAAATTATTGATTAGTTGTACAACATACATAGATCATAATTTCCAGCTGACCAGCGCCTTTCGCATTTGTCGGCGCTTATCGGCACTTATCGGCGCTTATCGGCGCTGGTCAATAGAAAAAGGATCAGCGCCGATAAGCGCTGATCGGCTTTCGGCTTTCTTTCTTTATACGGCCTTACAGAAGACTGCAGTAAAATAACACTAACTTTTGGTGATGCTATATTTCTGTCGGTGAGTTAGGTTCTAGGTCTCCATGAGGAAGGCAATGGCGCGAGTATAATTTTTGGTATCTCAAGCGTCGTCTTTCGCAGTGGTCGGTCATTGGATGGGTGACCAAAAATGTACTATCTCGAGCTCCTCCGTGCTTCGATACATACATCGCACGGTCAAACACCGCACGCCCCGATTTTTTGCGAAAGTTAGAGCCTACTTTTGTATTAAGAAGTTTAACCATTGATTACCTTGGCGAAATGGCCTATCACTAGAGCCGTAAAGTTTCAATAGCCCGCATGAATACTGCTTATGCGTACCCCAAGCAGTTAATATTCAAGTTTTCACTTCTGCCGGCACTCCCGGAGTGCAAACCGTCATTTTTTTTGTTTTAAGAAGTAGCCGGGTAATTAGGGGTAACTAAAAACATCACTTGATCAGGGTCAAGCTTGACAAACTTCGCTTGACTTTTAATTTTGTCCCTTTGTATATTAAAAGTTACTTTTGCGTCCGCGTAAAGGATCACAGGCAAGAAAATACCCTGTTCGACTATACAGGGTGTAAAAAAAACCTATAACGAAGTCGAAGGTCACGTATTTTCCACATCGTGACGATCATTTTTTTCTTCTGAACCATACCTGGGAAATTTATAGTTATGGAGATAATGAAGGTCAAAGTCAATTTTTTTTTTCAAGATTTATACATTAATATTTTCAAAACGTTATTTAGAAACTTTTTTATCGACGCACTTACACACACGCACACACATACACATAGGCACATTCTTTGCATAGCGCCACAGTAGCGCGCCGCGCCATACATTGCGTACTGGGAAAAAAATGTATTTTTTTTTAACTTAAAGATACATTTTTTTCCCACGTGTAATATTTTGTAATATAACTTGTTTGGGTGTACAGAATCCGTAGTTTGTCTTTGTCATAGGCTTTTTTACACCCTGTATATGCAACCGGACCATGAGTTATCTTCGTTAAAAGATAATACATTAACATAACACAAACTAAAAAACTATATGACGACCTCCGTGGCCGAGTGGTTTGTACGCCGGGTTTCATGGCTGTCGCCGACTCGAGAGGTCCCGGGTTCGAATCCCGGTGGGGGCAGATGTTTGTGTGATGAATACGAGCATTTGTACTCCAGTCATGGATGTTTAATATGTATTTATATAAATATACTTATATATGTACAGTATATGTATTCTATCCGTTACCCTAGCATCCCATAAGACAAGCATTATAGTGCTTACTTTGGGGCTAGGCTAATTGGTGTGAGTGTCGGAAATATTTATTTATTTATTTATATACCTCTTACCTAATATTAATATAAACCAGAAGCATCCATAGCATTGATAAAGGATTCTCTCGATCTCAGTCAAATTCTTTGGCAACCAAAACCCAAACATCATCATGGCACTAAGAGAACACCCAACGGACTTGTTAGGATTTTTTATAAACATATTTGCTTTTGTAAGTATGTATTTACGGTTAATCTTTACAAAGGATTACGGACAACTGATTCTAGTATTCGGTCTTCAGTCTGACGGACATTGTATACCTATTACCCGAATAATCTGTAATTGCTGACTACAGTAGGGGCGACAAACCTTTTTCAACGAAAGGCCTGGCCGATAATACCTCAAGAAACCCCAGGTTTCAGGCTACTGCCAATGGGACTATTTTTTATTACGTGCAAGGGCGGATCCAGGGGGGGGTCATGGGGGTCATGACCCCCCCCCCCCCCCTGGGCTGGGTCCATCTGTACTTCACAATCTGTACCCACTGTGACTTGACCACGACTAAATGACTCTCCCCCCCCCCCCTGGCGCTAAAGCTGGATCCGCCCTTGTTTACGTGATGAGAGGGGATGAAAACCAAGCAGATATAGTCATGCGTAATTAATGAATGATTTTTAATTTCATAAAGATACATGTGTATTTAATATTTTATTTAAGTAAAAAATATCATTGAAGTAAAATTGCAATGGCCTTGCTAGGGTGTCGCATATTTGTTAAAAGTATAGGTAGTGTTAAGTAGGACTTACAAGAGGCGGTACATTTGTCCCGGACATGACGTCAAAATGTAAGAGCGGCTCAAAATTTTAAAATGTACAACTTCACATTAAATGTCGCGATAGTCGCGTCTCGTTACTCACTCACTCTTCGTAAGTCTGACTGAGAGAGAGCGAGGCATGACGTTTCACTTAAGTCCTCTACGCACTATCCATCTGTATCTCTGTCTCTTTTACGTGTATAGCGCTGTCCTGCATGCTGGATCCAGCAAGATTGATAGTGCGTAGAGGAGGTGCTACTCGTGCACACAAACGTAATGTCGAGCTTCTGTACGCCTCAATGTCATATTTGTACTCGTCACTTCAAATGTATTGCCGAGCTTCAGTACGCCTCGCCTCATTTGAAGTGGGACATTGTACTGGCTCAGTACAAAAAAGTGGCTACTCTTACAAACTCTTTTTCAAGTCGTGTCCTACCCAACACTAAGTATAGGCTGTGAGGGGTATATCACGCGCTGTCCGCATCATTGGCGATGAAGAGGTAACCAAGAAATTCGAGTCTCTACAATTACGTCGCGATGTGGCATCATTAAGCGCATCCTACCGACTATACCACGGCGAGTGTTCTGAGGAGTTATTCTCCTTTATCCCTCCATCACCTTTTCTTTAGATGACCATGCGCGCTGGCCTACGTTGCCACCGACTTACTGTGGCCACTATTCCTACACGAACAAAGAAATTTGGTGACTCATTTCTTTGTCGTACCATTCGTAAGTGGAATTCGTTACCCGCGCAAGTGTATAATTATTATTATTCCTTTCTATAATCTGGAGTCCTTTAAGAGAGGCGTGAAGAAGCATTAATGCAGGCCGGCAAGGTGAGGATGATTGGTGTTGCAGTTTATAACTGCTGTACCAGCTATCTTCGCTTTTGGACTTTATTACCACTTAACATCAGGTGGGGTAAAGTCATTTGCCTACCTCTATATAAAAAAAATCACAGACTTTGTCCATACGCCGCTTAGTAATAAATGCAGCTGGGAAAAGGGTTTAAGGGTAAGAAAATGTTGTCGTCTTACTAATTACTAATTCCGTAATGCCTCGTTGATTGCTACTATTAAATATATTATTGACATAGAAAATAACATAATTAGAATAGTTACCTATATTTAAAGCACAACAGAACGTATTGTTGATTTCATCACCAAAAGCAAAGTACAGTCAACAAGAGCTCAAAACTGACTTTTTTAGACAGTACCCCTAGCACGGACCATTATCTAATAGGGTATTTGACAGTATTAAAAATAAAGTGCCAATTGTTAGCATCTGTGTTTAGAATGAATATTGGCAGGGGTTTTTACTATTTTTACAAAAAAAAATCATAATTTTACTAAACAAAAAAGATAATAGTTTTCTTACTTATTGTCACGTGACCCAAAACGCTTGGGATTGGCGGAGCCTAAAATGACGTCACACGCAAGTAAACTTCCGGTTAAAGTGACATTACATTGTATCGTTTGACGTTTTAATAACAGTCGTGTGACGTCACACACTAGTAAGACGCCATATTGTCCAGAAAAACGTTGTCGCGGCAACTTGAAAATTTAGTTTTTGATTTGGTTATTTTTACTGAAATACACAACAGAATGATGAATATCCACTTTTTGGGGACTCCATGAACATTAGTCAATAACGTGAGATCGTTTTCAAAAACTTGTCAAATACCCTATTCGAATAGTTTGCAAACCGAATTTCAAACCAAATTTTGTATGGAAACTTGAACAGCAGCGGCACAAAGTACGTAACGAGAACTAAAAATCAGTACACATTTGAAAATGACATTTC